TGAGACCTCTATGGCTCCGTCGTGACATCCGACTGTTAACGAAGGGTTGATTTTATGTTGCAACAGTATGACCACCTTAACTTTACAATGCCGAGACTTGGCCGTTACGAAAGCAAGATAATGATTGGCTGTTGGCGTTCGAACACCGCTTTCTACATAGCATCGCACGCATCTGGTGAGGCGATCGAGCAAGCAACGCTGAGTTTTAGGTATCCCGATCTCCCACTGNAAGTGGTTGACCTCAATCCACTGCGTTGTTTGAAGCATGTGTTACTCATGTCTCCTAATTGATTGTCTGGGCGCGCGATGTTTGCCGAGGCAGGTTTTAAAAGGATAAATGCCGAGAGTTGTTCAGCTAAGACCTGGCATGAGGGTGTGAAAACCCTAACCAGGAATTCGGTTATGTGGTTTGCGTTGGGCTCCCTCGATGGGGACCTCGAGATCATGGTCATCGGTGGTTAGATATACTGAATTTTGCAAACAATGCACTGGTGCATCTACTGATTCTCCATGCAATCTTAGTCTTTTATCTCTCTGCTCTCAACTTTTGAACCTTTCTTTAGCTCTTTTACCCAAATGGGGCATCCAAGAGATAGCAACTAAAACAGGCGCACGTGAGTGTAATAGTTGGAAAACCTGAAATGAGTTCATGTTTGCGCAATCGTTGCTGTCAAGCATTTGTGTGATCCGCGGCATTGGGAGGTGAATTTCGGTCGCTATGTGAGTAGAATTGCCACTTTACTGTAGGTTCAGGGCATGTAATGCACAAATCGAAAAATAATTACCGTCTTATTACCTACTGGGAGTGCTGAGGTGACTAGCAAATATTTAGAAAATCTCTCACAGTGAGGTAGTTACAGTCAATAGAGGCACGAGAAAAAATTTTAATCCCGACGGCCTTGACGGCATTCGCAATTATCGGCATGAGTTGAACAAGAAAGAAACAGAGTAACTTGTTTCCCGGGCGCGCGGATGGTTCTCGATAGATAATGTGGACTGTGTTTTCATCACAGCGAAAGACGGTGATCATTATTATGGACGATACTTCTACCTTCATGGCTCATACATAAACACTTTAAATGTTCTTAATGTCGTTTGTTTGAGATCATGCGGAATTCAGTGTTTTTCAGCCCAATATCGTCCCTGTAAGTATGTCATGCTTGACAAGGTCATGGCTTTTACACGGTACTATCAAGTTACTGGATTAGGCTGTTCAGATTTCAGTCTTCAGGGCAGAGGGCAGAGGGCAGGGTGCTCGTGTAAGCCCCATCACCACTGGGTCGAAGGTTCGATCACAAGTGTTCGTTCCTCCATAGCTCCTTCAGGTGCTCATCCAGACGCCGTTTGGAAGCAGCGTCTGTCTTCTCTTCCACGACAATCGCTGGAGGGGAATTCCTGAGTGTTGTTGATCTACGCGAGAGTCGATAGACTAACGGAAGACCAACTGAATGAAGTTTCCGCAACGTGAGAGCGTGTCCCCGCGTGCGGTGATCTGTCCGTAAAGGAAATTACTGTTACAGCTCTGGGCCCATATCACCTCTCAGGATCTTCCTCAGGCAGCTGAGATTTCCCCTGAGGCGTCGATACGCAATTGAGAACAGACTGGTTACCTGTAGACGACCTTCATAGCTGGTCCCGCAGAGTCCAACAACGAGTCTAGTGGCAGCAAGTTGTACGCGCTCCAACTTAGTCAGTTCACCGGCCGTGCAGGGGTATGTCACTGCACCACCATACTCAAGTCTTGGTCTGACATGGGAAGCGTACAACAGCCTGAAAGCGTCTATCGTGAGCTGGTTGAAAAACCACTGAATAGGCCCCAGAATGCTCCATGCACTAGCACAAACCCGATCGGTGTTTTCTCGAGTCTTCAGTGATGACGTAACCATGACACCCAGGTCTCGTTCGCGCGATGTTCTGCGCGATGTGGTTCCCTGAAAGTTGTAGACTACCTATGAGTCAGCACGCCCCAAGTGCAGATGAGCACACTTTGCTGTGTTGACTGGAAGAGCCCAGGTATCCGCCCACTAAACCAGGTTGTTCAAATCCGCTTGAAGAGAACTTCGATAATTCTGATCCTTGATTGTACGCCAGATTTTAATGTCATCCGCATACATGAGGGATGGGCTGCACAGTTGACCGGACAGGTTGTTCACATATACCACAAAGAGCAACGGGCCAAGAACCGAGCCTTGGGGAACCCCACTGGGAACGGAATACCACGCAGAGAACGATTTGCCAACACGGATGCGGAATTTCCGGTCGATGAGGAAGTCTCGCAGCCAATTCCGCATTACCACACCCACACCTAGGTTGGACAGATTTCGCAGAAGGAGGTCGTGCAGCACCTTGTCGAAGGCCTTGCTGAGGTCCACGAAGATGCTGTCCGTTTGGTGTCTTTTGTCTTCGGTCCAGCATTCACATGCAAGTAGCAGGTTTGAGAGGCATGAGCGACCCGGCCGGAAACCGCGTTGTTGGTGCCACAGGTGACCGTGACACACCAAACGCTGCCGAAGCCGTGCAGCCACCACTCGCTCCATTAATTTACCCACTACGCTAGTAAGGCTGACTGATCGGTAGTTCCCAGGGTCACTCCTATCCCCGTTTTTGGGCAGTGGAACAATGACAGCGTCCTTCCACTGCCGCGGTAGACGCCCTTGAGTGAATGACAAATTAAACAGGTTGCACAGTGGCGCTGCAAGTTCATCTGCCAGCTCCTTCAGAATCAGTGGATGCACACCATCAGGTCCAGGTGACTGATGAACCTTTAGTCGACGCAGCTCCAGGGCCGCCTCTCCAATGGTAAATAGGGCTCAGTTCAGCGCAGTGTTAGTGTCCAGTAGATGTGTCAGTGTGCTGGAGGCTGTGGTGTACACTGAGGCATAATGTGATGCCAGCATCTCCGCTTTGTCCTCATCTTTTTCGGCTAGTGTCCCATCTTTGGCGAGAGTCATGAGACCAGGGGTTGCTCTGATTCTTCGCCTGAGGTAGGCATACAATCGCTTTGGTGCCTGTACTGAATCCGCTGCTAGTCGTTACTCGAATCTAGTTCTCTTGCATTTTTTTGGGCAGGACATTGATTCTGAATACATCGATATTCCTTATATCCTGCGCCTGTTGCACGGTACCTGGGCCAGGCTTTATTCCACTGCCGGAGGCACGTCCGCAGTTCTCGGTCAAACCACGGGGGGCCCATAGCGTGTGTTCGGTGGCGGTGAGGTGGAGAGAATTCCAGTACGAGTTACTGGATTCTATGATGAACCAACTCCCAGGATACATCCACGTCCTCAAGGTTCCGGGAATCCCAATTTGTGGGTGATGCAGCCTGACGCATATCCGGAAAGGGTGAGCGCCACACATTCCGTCCGTTTGGGGTACGCCACGCCTCCATTGTATACGCAGAACAGAGTGATCACTAGGTGCAATCGGTGGAAGTAGGTCAATCCCAGTCGTATCTGATTGCCTCGGCGAAAATACCAGGTCAAGGATGAATCTTTGATCCCCAACAATCCGCGTGCGCACATGAACATGCTGAACAAGCGAGAGGGTCCGGACAGCGAAAAGAAGTTCTCTGGAGAACAAATCTGCGTGCTGAGAGCAGATTTCAGTTTTCCAATCAACATGGGGCGCGTTGAAATCACCCAAGACAAGACAATGCCCATCACAGGCGTACCTCTGTATGCTGGTCAGCAGCTCTGGGACGTACACAGCTGGTGTACGGTAAATCACTCCAACTGTGGTATACCCTCCGGCACAAAGCTTGATTCTGCATCACAGGGATTCTCCAAATCCTTCCGGATGGGCGTAATTCTCCAGCACTCGAACAGGGAGACCCGAGCGGACAAAAAGAACAACTCCACCACCGCGACGTGACAACAATCGATCCGTTCAAAGCACTGTGTATCCGTAGAGTGATATTTCGGGGTCTCGGACATCCGGTGTCAGCCAGGTCTCAGTGATTGCAAAAAGATCGGGATTGTGGGATACAACCCAGTCCTCCAGCTCATCCCTTTTTCCCAGCATTCCTCGGGTATTGGTTGAGGCTAGCACCTCGCTATTCGCGTCTCAAGCTAACCCCTTCCCCCGTCCGTGGTTAAACAGTCTCCTGAGTCCTCCCCCCGACCAAGGGCAGCCAACGCATCTGAGGGGGTTTCCGATACACAGATCAGTTTCCCCTTTTGCACGGCGCTCCCTGAGTTCTAATGCAGTTTTCAATTTACTGCGCTGGTCCGGATCAAGTTCCCTGAGGAACCGCACCGGAGTTCCCTTCAGCTTGTGGGTCCGCTGGAGTATCGCTTTGGCCTCGCTCTCTACTCCAAGAACCCCTTTCAGTGGTCGTGGAGAATTATCCTGGCGGGGTTTTCCAAGCCTGAATGCCGCTTTTACTCTGATCGATGCCGCTGGTTCCAATTCGTCGCCATCAAACAAGGTAACCATGTGCGACCTCAGCAGCTGCAGGTCGTGGTCCAGGCGAGCCTGGGCAGTAGTGGCCTCGGCCTTCGATGAATAATCTTTGGGTTTCATCTCCATCGTTGTAACGAAGCGAATATCAGTTTCCGATCGTGGAAGAATTGACGGCAGTTATGATACATTTTTGGAGTGCAATAGCGAAGGCCTTGTTCGCATCTCTTGTGAACAGTATGCATGCAGAATGTCTACTTGTGTTGAGACAGTCTAATTCGTTTGTATGTTACCGAATGGTTTTCATCACGACGCACCTTTCAGAGGTTGTTATTATTCACAATGCATTTTTGGTTCGTCATTTATGTTCTGGTTTCATTAAACTTGCATATAGGAACGTATCCGCAATCTTGTTTGTCACTTTTTCATTCACGAACTTACCCCAAAAGACTGCGTCGTAAGACATCGTACTTTGTGAACTGTAATAGTGTTATAAATCCACAACTCAGTGCGCAGTGGAGGATAGTTTATCTATTGTGGATTATTGATGGGACATCACTAATTTGGCATACATAACATGGAAATCTCATCAGAAACATACCATTGCAGTTCCTTGCCGTACAGTGGGTAATGAATGTAACAATCAATAGTTAACTTTTTGAAACCTAGCAATTTGTCCTCGGTGATCTTGTAGATTTTTGATCGTTGAAATGAATCACAAACTGTATTACCTACTACTCACAAATGCGAGTATTACCTCACAAGGTTAGTAATAGTTGTCGAGAGACAGAAGCTTTTCGGCAAGATCCTAGTTTCAGTGAAAAATCGAGCGAGGCTCACGGAGTGGTTAGTTTGATGCATATGTTTGGCTTCTGTAGACAATGATAGTCTTTCAGTACACTACGCTTGTATCCGGTTTTTGTTACCTTAACCTACACTACGCTTGTTACCTTAACCTGCGATTTAGAGTATCAGTCTTGGATTAGCCCATTCGATTGTTCAGCGGCACCAGACACTCGGCACTCGCGGTTCGAGTCCTGACATGGACACAAAGAGTACGCACTGCTGACGAGTCCCAAACAAGACGAAACAACTGTCCAGTGCTCTTTGTCGGTCATCACAAACATTAACCTACGATGTTTGTTTAATAGGGTAGGGATTGGATGAATAAAAAGGTGAAGGCGTTCAAATTTCAGGATATGTTCTACAATTTATGTTCAGGCTTTTGGTGGCTGCTTTTGGGATTCAAATAGGCCAGGGCTGGAGTGTCTATCCCAGTGGCTTTTTTTAATGTCTCCCTCGCTTCGTAATTCACTTTGATGTTTTCCTTATGAATCCTTTATCGGCTTAGTTCTCGAAGTTGCTGTTGCTTACAGACAGGGAGCGAATTCAGATTGTGGCAATCTCACGCAAGTGCGTTTGTTCAACTTCGTTCATGCTTCGCACTCAGTAATGGTCTCGTGATTTCAGATTCCCATCTAGTGTGATGTCCACTAGAAAGTGATGGCAAGTTAGATTGTCATATGATCAGTGTGTCGTTTGTTGATTGCGTGTGATTAACCGTTATCGATTAAAGCAATGATGTACTTATTCGGTGTTGTATAACAGTTGTGCTAATTCAACTATTACTTCAATTGTGATTCATCATTTGCCAGCGAAAGATGAGGTTCACATGTTACCAATGCTACGTACACCTTCAAACGTGATAACCAGATCGTATACTAATATTGTATTTTATTTTCACGCATCTGATGCAGTAAAACTGCGCAGTCAGCACTCCTAAAGGGAACTGCGGTCGATCGAAGACTACCAATCAATAGCGCAATCTATACGGAGTTTATAGTCGAGTGACTGTTTCGATTTTACTTTCTGCCGGGTTTTTCCAGTTCTCTGCCCAATGATCACTACATTAAATAATTGTTTTCTCACCGTCAGTTGACGAGGGATCACATTTTTACACCATGTACAGGAAGTCTCGTTCACTGTTCAGTTTTTATCTCACTGCGATCAGAAACGTTGTTCGAACCCTCTGACCACGTACGAAGTCTTTATGCTACACCATGTGTCCTTCGTGGCAATTGTCGATTTGAGTACTTCACACGCTTCCCGTTTTCTGTAGTCAAGAGATGCGTGCAGCAACCATGCAAATTCTAAATGCTGCACTGCAACCACGTGCTTCAAACGTAAAAGTGCATTGGCAACTGATGGTGACAAATTCAACCGACCAACTCGCTCCGTTGGATGTGATTGTGGTTCCGCAACATGTTCCACCCATTTTCAACCAGTGCTTCGCCACCGTTTTCGGTTTCTTTGATTACAGTAAGTTTTCTTTTCATGGATTTCTGAGTGGGTCCAAGTATTTGTTCAGAAATTTAATTAATTCACATTTGAGTTGTGTCGATGCGTTCAACATCTGTACTCAATTCATTCTTTTGGTTGCTCGATGAAATCGAACTTGAAAAATGTCGCCGTCATTTTGGGTCATTGGGCTGAGTATTAAGGCGTACACATGTCGACTGTTTAGAAAATTTTCTCTCAACAGATTTCTTCCCGTCATGAGCTTAAGAATACAGGATGGTGGAAATTCCTAATGCTTCTTATGTTTGTGACCTATGGATACGGTCTGTTGAGGTTTTCTCCGCAAATAGTCACAGAGAGTTGCCGTTTAAATAGTAGCATAAATCATTCGTTGCCATTGTGGGATCAAGTGTGTAACGTAATTCTTCGTCACTAGCACTCAGGCACTAGCATACAAACAAAGAACATAGCCGATTGATGTCAGCCAACAATTGAAATCACATCGACAATCCTTTTGCCAATCGATTGCTTGGCGTATTGCCTAACTCACAAAAAGTGCTTTGTGAGAGTAATATTCCAAACAAGTTTGCCCGCCGACAACGGAATTTCCCGGTCAGTCTCGTTTTGTGCTCTGGGCTGAAATTAAGTTTGGATATTCATGTCGATAGACTGTCAATATTCGCGCGCCAAACAGTGCGGGATTTGTGAGAATCACATTTCTGTATTTTCCCAGATAGCCTTTGTATGGCCGGAGCCCCGTTCTTGAAAGTTGTTTGTACATTTGTGTTGAATAAAAAAAAGGAAGTATAAAGTCATTGTTACGCGATTGCCTCGGGTTCTGGTAAATAGATTAGCTTGAAGAACAAAGATTGGTGTCATATTTCACACTAGGCTTGTTGAGTATTGGTTGAGAAAGAAATTCACTATTCGCTAATAAATCCTCGAATTTCTGACAAATTTGTCGAGGTAATTGTAACGGAAGCACACCTCATGCACGTGATGTACCTTTTCCTAAGTTGTGATCAAACACTGAAGAGTACATGCAGATTGTTGGTACGGATTATTATTTTACCCAGGGAATCATAAACTTTGTTAGTACCGTTTGCACATAACTGGAGAATGCAGTTTGAAATGGGACCGGTGGCACAAGATCTTGTCTTTGTCCGAAGCAGTTCTATCGCCTACCCGTTAGATCCTTATCTTGTTTAACACCCCATGTCTCAGGGCTCAGCTGTTAGTTGCCTTCCCACACATACATAACAAGACATACAGGACCAATACTGAGGCACACTCTACACACTAGCAACAACAACCGTAACAACTACAACTTTCTTCTGTCACAAATTTCACTGATCTTCAGTTTCCCCATTATTCTCTCACCATCACTGTGTTCGAAATTGTGACTGAAACTTCAACTCCCTTCTTGTTATCACTAATTCTACACTGCATATCGCTCCAATTAGTGCTGATCTTTCATGGTATTATGTTGATGTTTTCAATAAAACGGACCCGGAAACTCAGTTCAGGATTTGGGGGGATAACCAGGTTCATTACAGTCAATGGCTGTTATACTGCACCAGGATGTGGTCCGTTGGATGTGAGATCGGAAATTTCACCCTACCTGCGTTTTTAGTCGTACGGGACTATCTTCTGTTCAATGGTGAATCGATTCCATAAATATCACGGATCATCACTAATCACACTCGGCGATTCCATGCCGGATTGGTGTAAATCGTCACCTAGTTTTGTTTTCAGCATCGAGGAATTTAGCTCAACCGTGAGCTAGTGTTCCAGCTCTTAGTCGACAGAACCGATCCAGATCTTCGGCAGTCCTATCAGAAAAGTTGTTGAGGAAATCGTTTATTGCGAGGCAATCGTGCTTTGGTGCCTTAGTGTGTGTCCGGTCTAATACTTTCGCCGGCGTTGAAGAAGGATGGAGGAATATTCAGTAAGACATCCCCTTTTCCTTATTTCATCGTTGAATGTTCTCTCCTCATCTCTTGTTAAGAGAATACATCCTAGGCACCAGTGGCTAAATACCTCTTACCTCGTCACGTAATGGTCAAGTATCATACTCACGAGTGAATACGGACGGCGCAGCAGCATAAAAAGGCTGGAATGATCCGAGGATTTGTCTTATCTGCCCGTCCAGAGCACACGAGAGGAGCGCTCTGCGTTTTAAGTTGTTCTACAATTGTTATTTAATCTTTCTCTTAGGGATTCAGGACTATGACCCAGCGCATGGTGGTGAACGGCCTACACTCGGTTTATTGCCTGTTTATCAACAACAGCTGGAAGCTTGGGCCCGAGAAAATCAAGGTTTCAGCTTTCAATGTGTTGACTACGAGACCGATTGTCATTGCATGTAGATCTATTCGCTTGAAAATCGGTCAAAGCGCGGCGGAAGAATCACCGAGCAATGTAATGTTGTCCGCAAACTTCAGATCCGAGAATTTTTGGGCTCATCCAGAATGCAGTAATCACACCATTCATTGTCCCGTCGATGGCAAAGTTGAGTGGTACCCTTTGGAGTGGGCAGGTCAGTCTCACTCTGGAGCGAACTGTGAACTTGAAAGATTCTCCACCATGGTTCGGCTGTGGATGAATAGTTTTCCCGTTGGAGCCTTGTTAGTTTCTAGTATTTCTCGTGGAGATTCATAATTGATCGAGTCAGAAGCGGCTCGGAAA